TACCAGACTGTCACAACTTCTCAAATATTATGGATAATGGTTTAGCAACTTCATCTGTCAGTTCCCTCAGGACCCATGGATGCATCTCATCAGATCCCATGGACTTGTGCATCTTCAGGACTCTTAGATAGTCTTGAACCTTGTCTTGTGCTACAGTGGGCAGTTCTTCATTCTCCCAGCCCCTGACTTTGCCTTTTGCAACATGGACAGTGCAGCTGGAGCACTTGACAGTGAAGACTGAGGCAAGAAAGTCATTGAGTATCTCAGCCTTCTCCATATCTTGGGTAACCAGTTCTCCCATTTCATTCCAAAGAAGGCCCATGTTTTCCCCAGTCCTCCTTTTATCACTGATGTACCTATAGAAGCTTTTCTTGTTGCCTTTGATGTCCCTGGTGAGATTTAGTGCTATCGGGGCTTTAGTTTTCCTGACTTGATCCCTGGCTGCTTGGACAAGTTCTGTGTATTCCTCTCAGGCTACCTGTCCTTGCTTCCACCCTCTGTAGGCTTCCTTTTTGTGTTTGAGTTGGTCCAGGAGCTCCTTGTTCATCCGTGCAGGCCTTCTAGTCTTTCTGCCTGGCTTCGTCTTTGTAAAAAATTTAGTAAGAAGTTAAGTGAGACTGATCTGCTCTGTCTGTTGAAGTTCTCTCTGAGCTTTTATTGCTTCTCGTGTACCTGTGAGGGAATTACATCTGATAATAGTGTGTTCTTTTCTCTACTTAACACAGACGTGATAAAATGTCTGAAAATTAACCTGAGGTTAATTAGGACTAGAAAACGTGGAAATCTTTTCTTCAAAGTGTCATTAATCTTTGGAGCAGGAGAAAGCTGATTTTTTTAATCACTAAAACATTTCAACTACGGTTGATTGCTTTTCTGGAAGCTGTGCTTTAACCCATAGCTTTTTTGGCATGGAAGCTAATTTGTGAAATTGGCTAAATTGACTGTTTGCAAAGTCAGACTAGATAATCATAGTAATTTTTTAATAGACTTTACTTCTCACTTAGGTTGCTCTATAATGTAATTTGGTAACTATCATAACCTTCAGAATTAGTACAATTGCTTTTTATTTTATTTCTCAGCATTAGGCAAGGCTTTGTATCTGTACAAGAAAGTTTATACCTACTTCTAGACTACGTTGTGGGCAATTGAAGTGTTGCTTACTAGCCTACCTTTGACTTCAGGCTTGACTGTTTCAAGGGGGAAAATTTCAAAGTTGTGTACAGCCTTTATCTTAACTGTACGCTGATGCTATTCTATTTTTCTCAAGTTAAAAGAAATAATATAGAACACTGCACTGTGTGGAGAATCTGACATCCAAGGACTCTAAGGAATTGGTTGCTATTACGTATTACAACTGGTCAAGGGGCTGGAAAATAAAACTTATGGGGAGTGGCTAAGGGAGTTGGGGCTGTTTAGCCTAGAGAAGAGGAGGCTGAGGGGAGACCTGATTACAGCCTACAAATACTTGAGAAGGGATGGTGGGGAGGTGCGGGAAGGGCTCTTTACATTAGTTATGGGTGACAGGACAAGAGGAAATGGGTATAAGCTTAGTCAGGGGAGGTTCAGTTTGGATGTTAGAAGGAATTTCTTCTCTGAAAGGGTTGTCAGCCACTGGAATAGGCTGCCCAGGGAGGTGGTTGAGCCCGCATCCCTGGATGTGCTTTAAGGAAAGGGTGGATGAACTGCTTAGGGACATGGTTTAATGGGGGATTAGGGACGGTTGGACTGGATGATCTCTAAGGTCTTTTCCAACCTAGAAATTCTATGATTCTATGATTTTATCGATGTGTACATTTTAATGGCAAATAATTGTGTTGCAGTAGAATATAAGCACAAATAACTGTTACTGAACTGTTTTTTAATCTTTTTTCTTGACAGAAAACACTGAAAGAATATCTCTCCAGCTTCACTTAGCTTTAACTTCAAATGCATCATGGGTCCAGTGTCCTAGTCATTTAGAGCTTATGAATCAGTGTCGACACATAAATATTCGTGTGGATCCGCGTGGCCTGAGAGAAGGACTACATTATACAGAGGTACTGAAGTATTGGTTTTCTAAGCAAGATTGTGTGCATTTTCTTTTTCATGTGGTCTCTATCAACTTTTTATAGAAGTAATTTTTAAGGAGAAAAAGCTGTGTACTCTACAGAGCGGAAAATACTGCCACGCTCCATTTCACTGCACAGGCTGAATCCAGGCTTCAGCAATAGTTACGCTGTCCAGTGTTGTATAGCACATACCAATGGGACTTCGTGTATCTGTGTTTAAAAAATAAAAGCATATAAATAACTTAAACCAAATTAAATAACAATACATTAAGGTTTTTTCTCTGGATATATTTTCACATTTGACTGCCTGGCTCAGTCCTGTATTATTACTGAGGACAGAGATTTTGTGGTTTTAAGAAGTCTTAAATATTTCTCTCTTTATGTGGTAGCTTAAGAACTAGCCTAGCTTTTGTGGTGTTGCCATGCAGTCTCATATGAACCCAAGATTTTGCTTTACCTTGGGTATAGTGGTGCAACCTGTTTCCTTGTTTCCTCACCTCTACCCCATCCCATTTTGGAAGGTGGAGGAAAAAAAATGTGTCGTAATGACTGTGTACAACAGAAGCGTTTTGCTGCCTTTGAACAGCTATGTTCAAATTTGGACAAATTTAATACAAAAGCCATTAAATTTCTCATTTTCTCTTCTGAACATCCTGTTTCACTTCTGCAAAAGAAACCCACCAACAGAAAATATTTTTCAGCCCTCTCCATCCTTATCCCAAACCTTACATTAACATTGAAATGTTTCCAGTGCATTGTAGTTGATCATAATGAAGATATGATCAGCTTCCTTCTTGGAACTTACTTGCTCAAGATGCTTAGAGTTGCGAGTCTTCTATGGTCCCTCTGAGAACAATTTAGCAAAGTGATGATGAAATAAATTTTCATAGAATCACAGAATCGTCTAGGTTGGAAAAGACCCTTAAGATCATCAAGTCCAACCGTTAACCTAATACTGCCCAGTCCACTACTAAACCATGTCCCTAAGCACCACACCCACCTCTCTTTTAACTACCTCTAGGGGTGGTGACTGGGCAGCCTGTTGCAGTGCTTGACAACCCTTTCAGTGAAGACATTTTTCCTCATATCAAATCTAAACCTCCCCTGGCACAACTTGAGGCCATTTCCTCTCATTCTGTTGCTTGTTGCTTGGGAGAAGAGACCAACACCCACCTCACTACAGCCTCCTTTCAAGTAGTTGCAAACAGCGATAAGGTCTCCCCTCAGCCTTTTCTCCAGGCTACACAACCCCAGTTCCCTCAGCTGTTCCTCACAGGACTTGTGCTCTAGACCCTTTACCAGCTTCGTTGTCCTTTGGACATGCTCCAGCACCTCCATGTCTGTCTGGTAGTGAGGGGCCCAAAACTGAACACAGTATTTGAGGTGCAACCTCACCAGTGCCCAGTACAGGGGGACGATCACTTCCCCAGTCCTGCTGGCCATGCTATTTCTGATACAAGCCAGGATGCTGTTGGCTTTCTTGGTGAATACCTCCAGGTCCTTTTCTGCTGGGCGGCTTTCCAGCCACTTTTCCCCAAACCTATAGCATTGCATGGGATTGTTGTGACCCAAGTGCAGGACCTGGCCCTATTCAGAGGTAGTATTTACAGTTTGGCCATGAAAGATGCGGTAAATTGAACTGTATTTTCTCAAATATAATCCTGGAAAACAAGAATTAAAATATTTTTAATACAATAGCTAAAATAACAAGGCTGTTTGGGACAAATTCTGAGTTGAAACTAGGCCAAGCTTTTGATATAAGGTCTATCAAATGTGGGTTGAAAGCTTCTGGGAAAAGGCTAAAATGATTGTGAATGTGTAAACTAATTTTTTTTTTCTTGATGAATGTTGCAGTTTTACTATTTCTAGGGTGACAGTGGTCAAATGAAGATTTTTTTTCCTCAGTGATAACTACAAAGATTCAAAATACTGTGCAACTACTTTAATTTTGTCTTCTATAGTTTCGTTTTGACTAAAGATTCTAAGTGACTGTATTTTATTTTATCAGGTGTGTGGATATGATATAGCAATGCCTAATGCAGGCCCTCTGTTCAGAGTTCCAATAACTGTTGTTATACCGACAAGGTCAGTAAACCTAGGCTTGATCTTAATTTTTTAAGTCTAGTTTGGTTTTCTGTACCCACTTTGCATGTTGTCATTTTATTTCATCACCTGCTTTCTCTGGGAGTCCTTGAACATACCACTAACATTCACAAAGGAGCAGACTTTTTTGTAGTTTTGGTCCTGGCAGACAGAAGGCAGGGTGTTCTGGTGGGCTTAGCCACAGTGGCAGCAGCTTCTTTGTCCATCAGAATATTGATGACTTCTGGCTTGTTGGCTAAAGTGTTAATTGATATACTCATAGGTGTAGGTCAACTGGGAGCTTGTTTTTTCATTTCTAACTAGTAGATTAGAGTACGTGAATGCAGGGGACGTTATTTGGCAGGTGAACATTAGGATAATCTTCTGTAATGGCTTCAATACAGCAAATTTAGAGAGTTACTATTGTGCCCATAATTGGTTTAAACATGTGACTTCAATGATGTTGATAAGGAAGGAGAGTGTCTTATTAAACCTATTCAGTGGACAATCTGCCCTGAGAAAAAATGATGCAACTTTTCTCTAACTCGTTTGTAGAAATATAACTTCTTACATACCTTAGCTCACTTTAGTGGAAAGATGCTCAGCCAGGAAAAGCAGATCCACTGAAAAATAGGATTCTTTGATACTTACGTTTAAGCACAGTAACTTCAGGTGGATGGGGAGGGTGTCTGCATAATGCAATGAAGCTGATGTTTTAAATCTCTTAGATACATTGTGCTGTCAGATTCAGTACTAGTATGGATTAAAAATGGGTGCTGCGAACTGCATGTCCTCATTGTATGCTTTTTTGGAGAGTATTTTTGCATTTGAAAAAACAAGTGGCTTCACAGCTTGTTTGATTACTGCTTCTGTTTTCTTCTTGACATACAGAGTAGATGAATCATCAAGTTATGACCTGACATACACAGATGTTCATTTTAAACCTGGTCAAATCCGAAGGCATTTCATTGATGTTCCACAGGGAGCTACATGGGCTGGTAAGGAAAATTATCATGTTAATTAAATAAAAAACCTCATCTGTCAGACTTGACAAGTTGTTTTGAAATCATTTTGAGTTCTGACTGAATAAGGACTGAAGGATTTGACCCATGAATACACAAAATATTTATTTAATTCTAAGCTCTTTAGAGGAGTGATTTTGAGTTATCTCATGGTTTCTGGTATAGTAGAATCCTGATTCTCAGTCTTCTAGAAACCAGCAAATACAATCAGAAGTGGTTGCCTATAACTGGAGGAATACCCCATGTTTATGGAAGAGTATTAGTCTGAGGTTTGCCTAGTTTTTTTAAGGTGCGTGGATGTAGCGTTGAAAGATGTCTTAACTGAAGAAATTGTGGTTTTCATAATGGGCCAGTAGCTCATAATTCTGCAAGGAGGGAAAAAAGGGTTTTTTTCCTCATCTTCCTGTATGAGATTACTAAATAATAATCCTTTCAAGAATCTTTCATTGAGACTGAAGTTAGTGGTAAGACTCTTAATTTGGAATTTAGCACAATCTGACCTGTACAGATTATATATCTGTACTCTCTGATTAGTTTTCACCATTTAGTTGAGTCATGTTTCTCTTAACTGATCTTTGAATTTAGCTAGTTTTCCTTAATCTGAAAGGGTCTTTGTAAATAACTGATATATAAGCATTATTCACGTATGGAGCCACTTGGTGTACTGCATAACTTCTTAAATTACAAGTTGCTTGTGAAACTAGTGTTTTTCTGGTGAATCTGTGCTTTCCTTCTAAAATTCTTGGCTCTTGAAACTAAACTTAATTTTTTTTTTAATCTAGAAGTGACAGTATGTTCATGTTCATCTGATGTGACTGCCAAGTTTGTGCTTCATGCTGTTCAGCTAGTGAAACAAAAAGCATATAGAAGTCATGAGTTCTACAAATTTTCATCCTTACCAGAAAAAGGATCAGTGACTGAAGCATTTCCTGTCTTAGTAAGTTGCCTTAGGGTGGCATGGAGAAGAGAGGAAATAATATAATCAGTGCAGTATAACATAACTCATTCTGGATTTTTTTTCCAAAGAAAAAGTCCAAAACCAAGAAACCATAAATTTGTTACAGTAGCGAATGCATCAGGTTTTCAGTTTTGAAAAAATCTTTAATAGATTGCTAGTGTTTCTTCAATTATTTGGTATCACCCTTATAATACATGTCAGTCTCTTCAGTTTCTTGATACTTGTTTATACAAACCAGTTTGTTTCCCTTTCCAATAGGAGCTATGACTTGTTGGGCAGCTGTAGTTTTAGTGCTTAATGTGATAATCTGGGACATCTCATTGATGTTGAAGCCAGGTGATACTGACTGGTTTACATTCATACTGCTTAGATACAGCAGGCTTAGCTTGAATAATGCTAGCTCAGGAGTCCAGAACAGAAACAAGGAGTGAGCTAAGAGTTCAGGGGTGTGGATACTAGAGTCCACTTCTCAAGTTTGTTCTCCACCTTGCTTAATTTAGTTGTATAGCTCTAAAGCCTAAGAGTGCTTGTGGTTTCTGTGCTATTCACTCCCTTACCGTCTGTGAAAATGTCAGGTGGGGGATGCTAAGCTAAGTTTGTCCTGCTGACACCTTGTGAATTTTATGTTGGTTAAAAAAATACCCACATACAACCGCGCACCCCCCCCAAAAAAAAAAAAACAACCACCCCAAACCTTCCAAGCTTATTGTCATCTTATTTATTCAGAGAGCGAGACGAGATCTCTTTTTTTCTGATACACATTTTCTAGGGCACACACATTAAACTAGTCTATGAACTAACCTGTCTGCCTAGTTTGAAGGACAAAATGAAGATGTAATATTTAAAAGCTGTACCTTTCTCTGTAGGTCATACCCCTGACACTCTTTGTTTTGATGCAGTCATTAGTCATCCTGTTTTGTTGGAGCTGTCCTGTATTTTCTGAACAAAGTAGAGTGTCTTACTTGGTACTGTACAGACCTATACAATTGGAATAAACTGGACATAACAGGGTCTCTTTTGAGCTATATTCCAATTTTTTTTGCTTGGGTTGAGGGAGGCTGGGGTGAATAGAAGGAGAAGGTGGGAGCTTATGTCTGACTTTGTGCTTTTGTTACCCAGGCTGGAAAAACCATTGAATTTTGTGTGGCTCGGTGGTGGGCAAGCCTTAGCGATGTTAGCATTAATTATACAATTTCTTTCCATGGTGTGCTTTGTGCTACTCCTCAGCTAAACATGGTAAGTTTTACAGAGTGTTTATTTTGAATTATTCTCAAGTCCTGTGGTATTTCAGAAAAATAAAAAATATTTTCTTCATTCTTGCCTGTATTTAAAAGACTAAAAGTATCTTTATACATGAGATGTATTCATATTTTCCCTTAAAAATAGGTAAATAGGAACTCAGTCCTACAGATATGCCTGTTACCATTGTTTATGAATTTTTCTATGCCTTTTTATTATAAATCAATAGAGGGAGGAAAAAAACCAAACAAAAACAACTAAAACACGACCCCAATAGAAAGGACATACTAAAAGGCTTAAATTGTCACTATATTTCACTAGCAACTGTCTGTGTGAGTAAACTTTGGGACCACAGTTCTTAAACTTGAATATATAGACTACCATTACTAAAAGACAACACTCTGAATACCATTTTCAGAATAAAATGTCATGAGAATTTATTTTCTGTTCCATGTTTTATTGAGATGTACCAGTTGATTTGAGATTCATTATTTAGGGCAGTTGAAGGCACAGTGAATAGTGATGTCATGATTCCTAAGACTCTGTAATACTAAAGGATTGAAAAAGTTACTAAGAACACTAGTATCATACTATTTACAGTACTTTGGCTCGCTCCTGTGTTCGTTGCTATCCTGTGAAAACCTGGCTTGGCTTGACTTTGCATCCCTCAGGAGTGGACTTTCATAGATAGCTGAGATCACAATACCTACATGAAACAGCACTATGCGAATTTATCCTAGCTTCTCACTCTTTTTTTCAGCTAAGGCCAGAGAAAATTATAGCTCTCCCTCAAGCGAATTTGTATGTATTTAGGGTCTAAGAGCTGAATAAACTGGGGAAAAAAGAGTGGGTGCATTGTGCTCAAGTACCCAGTCTTGAACCACTAGAGCAGAAGAAGAAGGAGCAGGTGGTGACGATGTGTACAGCAGCTCCCCTGACTCCAGCAGGATTAGATCCACTGAATAATGAAAAGTTGAAAATGAGAGAATACAAATAGTTTTGTCCATCCTTCTTCAGCACCTATAACTTTCATAAAATAAAATTTTGAGAGTACTGATATACTGGTGGCTTTGTCATGGGATACTGCTAGAAAAAAGTTTTCGAACTATTTTGCCCATCACTAGCCTGTGTATGTAGTATTGTGGATTTTTTTAGCAAAGTTAAGCTATTTTGTAATAATAATCCTAAGCAGAAGCATCGTAAAATACTTGGTTTAAGATTCTAGATGAATAATACTTGTATTTATTGAATTACATATTCAAAGGAAATCGTCACAAATGCACAAACGAAACCCAGCCCTGCCCGAAGTATGACTTGTACAGTTCTGTATACTTGTTTTTTCCCCTTGATAACTTTAAGAATTTATCTCCAATTGCTAATGTTTTGCAAGTCCCAATATATCTGTTGTTTTAAAATAGAGATAAGCTTGTGACTTTCAGACTCACGCAGTATTACTACTTATAGTATAAATACAGTTTGCATCGGATTTTTGAGGGACATAACAGATGGTCCGCATCTGACGTTATAAGTGCACAGAAGCATAATTGTTATATACTCTTTCTTTAGCACGCTTCAGAAGGCATCGTACGATTTGATGTTCAGTCCCTGTTGAAGTATGAAGACATTGCTCCATGCATAAATCTGAAAAGCTGGGTTCAAACGCTCAGGTAGAGTTTCTGGGGAACTGTATTGGGAAAGTGGGAAAACTATTAGTATATGGCTAAAACAGTAACAAGTTAACAGTGAAATTTAGGATAACAATATTCTTGTCAAATTTTAAGTATGTTTGGAAGCATCAATTAAAATTTCTCAGCATTCTCCTTTTTGGTTCCTTTTACATTCGACAAAATTTGGGAATTACAGTGACTTTTTCCACACAAGTTATTTTCCTTAAGCTAATTAAAAAAAAAAAAATACATTGCTTCCAAAGGAGTCACTTAGAGGTAAAAGGCACTTTAACATCTAAATAAACAAATTAGAGTTATTTGGTGCTGTCTGTTTCAGGTTTTTTTTAAGCAGCTGCTTCAGATCCTGTCCAATTTTGACCTGGGAAGACTGTCTTCTCTCTCTTGCTTGATTGGAAGTGGTTTTGTAGGATGTGGTGCAGAATTTTGTGTGCAAAACGGTGTTGTTGTCAGTTTGACACATGCTGATTTGGAGAAGCTTTGTTGGAAAAATTCTGAATTGGTGCAGCAATTGCTTCAGTTGGTTGCGTATGGAGAAGAAAGAAATGCCATACAGTTTAAGCAGTACTTTTAAGACCTGGGCCACACAATTTTACAGTGATCAGTAATCCAAAGTTTCCCATTATTAGGACCTCTCAGTGGAGACCTTGGCCTCTATCTAGGACTTTTGGATACTTGTAAGTGGAGTTGAGGTTGCTAGGAGTTTGATGTTTAATGAACATGCCACCTACCCTTAGATTTAGAAGTACCCGATTTGATATGCCTTAAGTGAGGAAATAAACCAATACTCTAATATATCTTTGTCTCATTCGTGGTTTGTAAAATGGAGATAATCTTGTCTCCTTGTAATATTTGAGGCACTTGTGACAGTAAGCAAACTACAGTCAACTAAACTAATGGGAAATATTTATGTATTTAAATTAAGATGTGAATAGTATCTCTTGAATGAAGTAATGACTCGTGACACGGGGAAAAAAGGTACTGAATGGCTTCTCATTCGGTCTCTTGAGTTTCAAATGCTTGGAGGCAGGGTGAGTGTTAGGGAGACATATCATGTGTGGTATTATTCTGTTCTTAAGTCTTCTGTCAGCAGTCTATCTGGTGTCTGCCTGACTAGGAAACCTGCGTTAAATGGACTTGTGGTCTGACCCAGCTCAGATGTTTTACTGGGTGACTAGTCTACGCTGTTGACAATGAAAGAGCTGACAGGATCTTCTAGAAAAATGTTGATCACGTAATTAAAGGTTGTGAGAATGAATGGATGAATGAAATGTAAACTTAAATGATGCCACGCCACCCTCTTTTACTGTTCTTTACTTCTGAAGCTCTGATTTTGCTGTGTCATTATTTAGCCTATATTCTTTGATGCTTAAGGTCTAAAGTGTTTCTGCTGCTCGGAACAACAGCTTGTCATAACTGTATCTGAGTTTATATACATTACGTAGGTAGTATATGTTAGCTTTCTTCTGTGTTACTGCTCTGATTTCTGTAAGACTTCTTACAAATTGTCTTCTGATACAACCTTCTATAACACAAAAAATATCCAACTATTTATTCTGTCCTCTACTTGTGATGCTGTTAATCTTTCAATCTATTACTAAAAATGCTGACTGCAGCATGGATGCTACAGATGTAAAGTAACCTGACGATTTTTTTTTTTTTCAATCCTGAAGTCTGTTTTCTCTTTTTTTTTTAATAGGCTTCAATTCTGAGCATTTAGATGTGCTTGCCAAGCTCTGTTGGCTTCTTTTTTTGGCAGTGTCTAGAATATCACTAAACCTTGATTTTGAACTGACATTCATTGTAACTGAGGAATTTATGCTGCTTGGATAGTTACCATATTTAAGAGATGTTGCGTGTGCTGAATTCAGTTGCACTTCAGAATATGCTTCTGCTTAAGCACAACAAATTCTGGTGGAGGATGCGTGTTTCTTAATAGTACCTTCTGTTGTTTTTTTTGTTGTTTAACTGCAGACCAGTGAGTGCAAAAATAAAACCTTTGGGGTCCAGAGATATTTTACCAAATAATCGTCAACTGTATGAGATGATTTTGACCTATAACTTCCATCAGGTAAGGGTTATGGGTGGTTATTTTTTTAAAAGTCACTAATAAATACAGCATGTTTTCTAAAACCAGATTTTAACTTTAGCTTTCTATCAGAAACAAGGTCTAGACTCTATACAGTCAAAATTCTGATTTGGTTCTTTTCAGGAACTATTGTTGTTTGAAATGGGCTTTAGTTCAGGTATCCTTTTGAATATGTGTGTAAAGATTGTACTTGTTTTATTCAGTAGTGGATTAAATGTTCTGACCTTTCTTTTAATAGCCTAAGAGTGGAGAAGTAACTCCAAGCTGTCCGCTTCTTTGTGAATTGTTGTACGAATCTGAATTTGATAGTCAACTGTGGATTATTTTTGACCAGAACAAAAGACAAATGGGTTCAGGAGATGCCTATCCACACCAGGTACAGCGTAATGTATTTACTGTCTGTTTTCTGCACAGTGTGAAAACTTTCATTCTTTTTATGTCCCAGGCCTACTGTTAGCTCCTAACATTTCCTGATGCATAGGTATAATGTTCTTGTATCTTCACAAGAAGACAGGTTCAGTGGTGATATATTTGTATGAAAAGAAGTAATGATTGACAGGTTTGTTTCCATGAAATAGATTATTATGATTTTGTTTTCCTCTTCCAAGGAAGGAGGAAGAGTTATGGTGTGTTTTATTTCTACAAGAAATTGCAAATTAACAACTCTGAGTTTTGACTCATGCTTCTCAAGAAGTGAATTCAAGTTCTCGTTGTCTTTGTTTGAGTTTTTTTACAAAGATGATACCTTGGACTTTTTTATTCAAGGTGGAAAGGATCCATTAGTAAGAGAAACACTGTAGTTTTTGGTTTTGAAACGATTTCTTACCAACTAAAATCACAGTTGAACTTAATCAATGTAGTGTTTATTTTAATAGTTTGATCCTTCTGGAATTGTATAAAGATCAGCTAAGGCATGTCTTTTGTATCTTATAAATGAGTTTCAGAAATTGCATTATTTAAACTTCTGTTCCTTAACTTGCATTTTTAAGATGCTACGAAATCTAAAAATCACTGAAGTAGTCTGTTACTTATACTTGGTGGATCACCACACTGTAAATCTCCAGTGTTGTGCATCATAAAACAATTCTAAAGCAATTCAAAATTATTTAGTCTAGGAAGAAACACCAACAGGAATCGTGACTCCTTAACCCAGGAGAGAGAGATTTTGGGAGCAGGATAGTTCTGAAGTTTTGTCTGTTTCTACTTAAAACTGCCTTTTATGTTATAGCAGCAGCAACAGAAAGGAAACTTAGCATGCTACTGCTCAAAACATCCACATGGTGCCCTGTTAGGTTGATAGAAATGAAAGAATGTATTCCAAACTAAGTACTTGAGAGCCTGTTGTTTTTTTTTTTTTGTAGGGGGTTCTGGGTTTTTTGTGGGGGGAGGACAGGGTTGTTTTTTTAATAATGGAGATACTCCTAGCTGAATATATAAAAAGCTCAGTGCAGAGTCTGTCAGCTCTTTAAACTACAGCCTTAAATCTCACAGGAATACTGGGTCCCTCAGTGTGAAAGCTGGTACAGTGTTTGAGACAGTAGATGATGTCCTGTGATCTAAACTACAGAGCACCCAAAGTTACTTAGTAAACTGAAAGTTTATCAAGGCAAACCTGCTAGATATTTTGAACTGAAAGTTTATCAAGAATTCTGGTTATTATTTGAGCAGTTAATACAGTATTAGAATAGAAACAAATTATGTCAGCCTATTTTGCGATCTGAAAACTTATTTTTTTAGTCAATCCAAAATGTGTTTTGGCTGCTATCAAGTCTTGAAAACACTCTGTTTTCAGGAGATTCCAAAACTAAGCAATCTAGTGTATTTCAAATGGCTGGAACTATATGGATCAAGAAGAACATGACAGTCTAATTTCTGGGTTTCTTTGTGAATGGTGAAGTATTTAATCTTGGCATTTATGAGAACTTCTTTCTTTCAGTATTCTGTGAAACTGGAAAAAGGAGATTACACTATTCGTTTACAAATTCGTCATGAACAGAACAGTGAGCTGGATCGCATCAAAGACCTTCCATTTATTGTTTCTCACAGGTTATCTAGTACCTTGAGCTTAGATATTTATGAAAACCATAGCCTTGCTCTCTTAGGGAAGAAGAAATCCAACAGTTTGACATTACCACCAAAACACAGTCAGCCATTCTTTGTTACATCTCTGCCCGATGACAAGTAAGTTACTGAAGTCCTGTTTTTCTCATCTACATCTAACCAGCTGCCTCTGCACCTAACTAAAGTGATACTTTGATAGTGTCTACCTGTTTAGGCTTGGTAATTCCACTTGTGTTCCTCTTTCACTGTTCAGGTTCTTTATTGTAATTCCCATGGAACATTAATGAATCTGGTTTTAACACGGAACTTTCTTTCTTTGAATAGAATACCTAAAGGAGCAGGACCAGGATGTTATCTTGCAGGGGCTCTTACGCTGTCTAAAACAGAACTTGGAAAGAAAGCTGTGAGTATTTGAAATGGATGATGGCTTCTTTCTCTTTCTTTAAAGAGCACTAGGTTTAGTAACGTAACACATTTTAGAAGCAGTTGTTTCATTATAATTTCAAAGTAACTTCTGAGTAGTTCTATCTTTATTTTCATCTTATAATTTCAAACTTAATTGCATTTTCTAAATTTTGAATTCTAATTATTTCACTCGAGTCCTGATTTTCTAGAAGCAACTGCTCTTTTGTTGGTGTGGAGCTTTTAAAAGTGATTTTTGTGTTATTGCCTAGCTTAGTATAATTTTGGAATGAAAAATACGTGCATATATATTTTGTGCATGTTGGTTCTCTGATAAACAGCTATACTCTTCCTTGCATGCTTACAATTTTCGGCAAAAGTATCTGTTTTCTTAACACTTACATGTTACTGTTAAAGGAGTAGGAATTTTGCTGACTCGAATGCATAAGCAGATACTCTTACCTGCTGCACACTGATGTTGTCAACCACTAACATGACTCTGTGCTCCCACAGAGTAATGTAAGATATCTGTATGTGATGCTAGAAAAAAGCTGTAAGGTTTTTCTGGTCGTAATACAGCATCCTGTAAAAACTGGTTTCTAACTTTTATGAATCCGTAGTGCAACAGTGATTATAGTAACCAGATCACTCTTGTGTGTTTCTGCTGCTAAGGTCTTTAGAAGATTGCCTTAGCTATTTTTCAATAGATGGCAAAGCTGAGAGTAAATTTAAATCAATCCTGGTGATTGTTAGTATTTACAGGTAGTTCATCTATGTCCATATATCACTAGATGTGGGTGAATAACACATATAAAACTAGAGTATGTTTTTATAGAAAATAAGTTTCTGTGAGTAGGTAGGCACGTACCTTTAGATCTTGTTGAGTAGAAAAGTTTAGTTTTTTCAATCTGATTTGATTGTAGGTAGTACTTTTGGAACAGATTGCATGTAACTGCAGGTTAGAGAATGTCTGTCGGGAGAATTTATGGATCAGTGAGGAAAAACCCAGTAACTAAGAACTCTAAAATACTTAGTTTTATGTTTCTTTTTGGTTCCCGCAAGGTTGGAAGTATACTTCTATGAAATGCATGGTAAATCCATTACAGTAGTGTAGTATAGTTTCCCTAACTTGAATCCTGTGCTTCCTTGAACTATTGTTTGTAATTCATGTTTATCTTACTTTAAAACCAGACTAAGTGGTTATGGGATGGGAAGTAGGAGGGAGGTAGGTATCACCTGTCAAATTTCATGTGATGAGGAATACTTAAGAGCTTACACAGATAAATTCTAGCAGAGTCATGTCTCATGTTATAGTCTAAGGCATTACTGTTATGGTCATATTTCACTGGAAAACGAACTGTATCAAATAGCATCAGGTACTTTCTGCTGCCTTTAGTGAACCTCAGTATGTACCAGGAGCCAAAAAAGGAGGACTAGGAAGCAAATTTGTCTCTAGGTCAGCAAGTGGATGCAATTTGAGGGGAAAACGTATCTAATTTGTGTGTATTTATTATGAAATAGAACAATGCCACTAAACAGGCAAAACCTAAAATCTACGCTTTTGAGGCTGAATTTCTGTAACTTATTAATTTAAGCTAAGTGGTTAACAACACTTGCTTGTCTTACAGGAATAATGGACTGTATACACAATAATGTATTGTTTTATTAATTTTTAAAACCTGAAAGAGCATGCTTTAAAAGCATGTTTGATCATAGATGTGACTCTCTAAAAGTTTAAAAATCTGTAGGTTGAAAGTATAACCGTAATTGTACAGAGAAGGTGTCTCCATCCTGTGTGGTGTGTGCATGTTTTCTTACAGTATGTTATTCTAACTCCCAGGGGCAGTCTGCAGCAAAGCGACAAGGAAAATTTAAAAAGGTACTGAATGTTAGTTTTTGAAAAAGATATACTTAAGTCTTTTTGCATATGACTTAAAGAATTTGTCTACCAGTATTGGTTTTTAATTTGTCTCCTTCATCTGCCTCCTTAGTCCTGAGTTATTTACTTCAGCACCTTAAGTATGTCTACTGGTAGAATGACAAAACACTACTGTAATACAAAGCCGAGAGGCACGTGAGCATCTGGATACTTGTGCAATAAGTGCTCTAAAAATGCATGTGGTGATCAGTGGTCTGTAATTTTTCTTTATTAAATACTCAGGAGTCTTCAGTGTTTGTGGTCAAGGTTTTCTGTGGCGTTTCTGCCTATTCTATTCTGTCTGCAGATTGAGAACTGAGTATGGACCTAACACTTTCATGTAGAATTGAGCATCTAACTGTATACCAAGTCTACTGAACTGAGAGCTGACTTCGTTACAGTTGTAAAAAACCGTACTATAGCCAGCAGTTTTTTTCTTGGGAGGGACAGACTTGATTGAAAAGTCTCTCAGTTCATGATTCTACTCAAATCGAGTATAACTTGTTATAGGCTAGAGTTTATACAGTGATGTAGCAGATAGAATTTACAGAAAGAATTTTGGAGCATGTATAAGACTTTGGGTAGGCAGTGAATGACCTTTAACATAACAGTGTTTAATATTGTACTTTCTCATATTTTTACATTCGGTAATACAGTATTGTGTCAGCAGTCAGACTGAAACAGTCTTTATAAGAAAAAAAACACAAACAAAAAACCAAAACCTGCTTTAGTAGGCTGTCTTTATAAGGCTGCTGTGATGGGTTTTTTTTATTGTTTCATTCTTAAGTTGTAAGGCTAACTACATTTTTTTGTTTTCAAGGTACTGTGTTCTGGAGTGACATGCAAATTAGTCAGGATTCTGTTAGAAATAAGGCACAGAAATCATGAATAACACAGTTTATTGCCTTAATCTGTTATTTTTTTTAACAGTAAGCTGGTAACTGAGCCTGCTAACTTACCTCTGGTCTTAGTGTAATAACTGTGTGGGAATGTGATTAAGCTTCACAAGAAAGATTTTAATGCCCATTGTGGTAATTTTATTTTCATAGTGCATCTGAATATTATGCAGATCACTTCTAGAAAGATGATTTAAAATGCCATGTGAATGCACAGCTTCCTGATGAATAGGGCATTAAATATTCACTAAATGAATCTCTAACAAGGGAGTTAAACTTGAATCATAACTTAATTTGCCTAACAAAACCAATTAAACAAATCCAAGAGGTTGCATGGTTTTTTCTTTTGTTTTTAGAACAGAGATTTGTGTTCAGATCTGAGCAGTATACCCACCCAAGCCAAAATAAAAACTGTTCTTCTTGATACTTTCACCTATTACTCCTAAGAGGCATCAGCGTACTAGCAGCAAAAAATAAAACACAGAGTATTTCAGAGCATCGATCCATAAAAGATCCATTATTTTTCTGAGTGCACAACTCTGAGGGCTTCCTAGTTGGCAAGTTCTGAATATTTACCGTGCCTTGCTGTAAGTTTACATGTGGTTAAGATGTTTTTCAGCATGGAAAACATGTTTATGTAGATCTCTTGTGACCCAGTCAGTCAAAAAGGTATCTGTAGATTTTTCATATTTTTCACAGACAAGTCCAGGTCCTGTTGTAGGATTAAAAGTGTTAATTTACAAATCTCGGTTTTATTTTATGTATGTTTTTTGCTCTGATACTGGTGACGACTAATCTGTGGAAGCTTTTTTTTTTTGTTTAGTTGAGGAGAGATGGAACTTGTTAACTTGCACCTTTATGCATGACACTACCAAAAATCCAGGGTGGGCGTTTCTGCTTGTTTGAAAGTACTTTTATTTTCAAAGAATCACAGAATGGCTGAGGCTGGAGGGGACCTCTGGAGGTCATCAGGTCCAACCCCCCTGCTTGAGCAGGGCCTCCTACAGCTTAGTTTACCAGGACCGTGCCCAGGCAGCTTTTGAATATCTCCAGGGGTGGAGACTACACAACCTTTCCGGGCAACCTGTGCCCCAGGTTCAGTCACACTCACTGTGAAAAAATATTTCCTGATGTTCAGAAGGAACCTCCAGTGTTTTTTTTTCATGGCCATTGCCTCTCATCTTGTCACTGTGCACCACTAGAAAGAGTCTTGATTTCTCTTTACA